TGAGCCCCAGCTGGGTCAAATTAGACATCCCCTTCTCCTTTCTCTAGCTAACGGGCGTATCACTGACTCCTCAGAAGTCACATGAAGCTCTCTTAAATACAGTCTGGGGAAAAGCAGTCAGGGAGAGAAGATCCTTCAGCATCTGTTGACTGCACAGGCCTGCTCTGTAAGCAGAGCTTTCTGGTGAGAGCCATTTGAACCAGCAGGTATCTTCCAGTTTGCTCAGTGCACAACACTGCTGCGTGTCGAGGTGAGCAAAAACAGTTCCCCAGGATAAAGTTTTACTTAGCTCCTCCAGGAGGATTGTTTCTCTGCCAAATTGGAGCTATCAGTCCTCAGCCACAGTGGCTTTAGAGTTGTTTGAAACAAGCAGAAACAATATGCAGACATGTAACATGGGACAACTCCGTGCTCTGCCGCTTTCCTGGCTCAGAGGTGTGAGCTTTGACTAAAACCTTCCCACCCAACCCTAATAACCCCATAATAACCCAAGGCTGAGTCTCATTTGGAAATGCAAACACGGGAATGCATTCCAGATACAGCAGGTAAGAAAGCAGCACTTATCATTTCTGCTAGCCTCTAGCAGGGGCAGATTTCCCACACCTCTAGCAAGAGCCCTGACCGTAGTATTGCTCTTCTCTGCCTTCTCTCCAGTCACAAAGCCCAGCCGGCCAGTGAAATGCCACGGAGCAGCTCCCAGGAAGGGTCAGGGACCATGTCAAGGACCAAGAGCTCAGGGCTGGGTCTTGTATCTGCCATGGGGCAGACCTCACCTGGGTGAGAGCAGTGCTGAGAGCGCTGCACTCCCAGGGCCCCTGAGCGTTCTCTCCCTTGGCTGCCGGCTGTTCTTTCTAGCCCCGAGCAGATCTAAACTGAGGCGGAAAAGCAAGTTCACAAAAAATCTGTTTCAACAGAGAAAGCTTGTTTCCCTTTTCCAGGGAAAACTTGTGACATCAGAAATCCCTGCTTAGCTCCACTTCCTAGTGGCTGGGTCCAAGGGTTTATCACTTCCAACAACAAAAAAAACCCCAGCATTGCTCTCTGCCATGCGTCCTGCCCCTCTGCAAATGTCAGCCAAGAAAAGACATCGTGGCCCACAGGAACTGGACAAAGAGGATTTAGCTTCAAGTTCTCTGACTCAGTGCTCGAGCCTGGCAAGCCTTCTGTCTGCTCACGCCGAGAGTCTGTCACTGGCCCTGGAACAGGACTCAGCTCCCAGGCGAGGAGTCCCGCCTGCTCGCCTGGCCACGGCCTCCAGTCCTCCCTGCAACGCCACTGGGGGCCCAAAGAAAGGGGCAGAAGGATATAAGAAAAAGGAAGAGTTAATTTAAGAAAAGGAGTGGTTCCAGGTGCACGCTGAACAGGACCACAGAGCAATGTGTAATTATAACAAAGCTCACTGGGATGTTTACACAAGAAACTATTAAATGAATGAATACATCATGCCAATACTGTGAAGCAGACAGTAACTGCACTGTCCTTTGGAGAAACAGATGAACATTTTATGAATTCATTATTAAAAAAAGAAAAGAAGTGAAATAAAGCATAGTTCTCTGAAGATGATTCCTTCTCTCTCTCTGGACTTGCATTTAATAAACTCGTACAGGGAGATACCGCTGAGCCTGGCCAGAGGGAAGCTCAGACAGAGGGTAAGATCCTGGCAGACACTAGCGAGACACTCACAACATTTCCACGACTGCTCTGCAGACCTGACAGCCAAGGGCTGCGTCCCCCTTTTCTTCTCCATTTGTTTAATAGGTAAATAGGGATTTTTCTCTAGCTGTCTTCTCTGGGATGGCTGACCTATCCTTGCCAAAACCTCCCCAGAAAATTCAGTCCTTAGCAGGTATCTGACACGGAAAAGTTTGGTCCAAATTTCTTCCTGGAAAGTTCCGGACGATTCACGTAGCTCCACCTACGCTGCCCTTAACTCTTAATTACAGCAGCTAAGACCTGGCAGCTGGCCCTGGCTGCCTTGCTAGGAAAGGGAAGTAACTGCTGTGCCCCTTTGCTGCAGTGCTGGGCAGCAGGACAGGCCCTACTTGTCACCCACCTCCGCAGAGCCCCGGCTGCTCTGCTCCTCTCTCTGCTCCTGAGCGAGGCCAATGCTATGAGCTGGGACACAGGTATCTCTGCCCATCTGCCAGGACTTAAACCACATCCTTCCTCGACGCACGTAAGAAGCTGAGGGCCTGCCCTTTACACTGACCACAATGGCTTCTGTCCTCCACCTGAGGAGCATCGGTGAAGGTCTGGGCTGATCACACAGTTCATCTGTGTGTGGCATTCAATAGCCACAACTGTGGCTGTACAGTGAATTGCCTGTCTAATTGGAGGAAGGACTAATACCTAGAGCATCCCAAAGGGAGCCAGGGCGTCTGGGCTCTTTTCTGGCTTTGCTACGCACACTGGAGTAGTGCCGAGCAAACGGCTGAGGTTGGAGGAGCCTGCCAGAGCTGAGAGACCAGGCAGAGCTGGGGGCTGTAAACGCAATAACCCTGTCACCTGAGCAGCAGAGAGAGAGAAGCATGTGAGCCTGCTCAGACTCCTGGCCCCGGTGATGCTGAGCTGTAGCCTTACTCCACTAGGCCTAAACATCTGAGCCCTAGAAAAGCCCTTCTGTAGAGAAAAACAGACCTCCCGCT